TATGCAGCTCACAAAAACTTTGATGTATATCAAATGGGCGTGAAGTGTGCATTTCTGAATGGTGAACTCGAAGAAACAGTATATATGGAACAACCTCTAGGATTTGTGAATGAAAGATTTCCGAATCATTCCTATGTTTTCGATAAAGCAGTGGTCTTAAACAAACACCGATGGCATGGTATAAAACTTTGACTCGTTTCCTTAATCAATTTAGATTTAAACAAGGTACTGTTGATCCTACATTCTTTCGTAAGAAGGAAAGTAACCATCTAATGATTGTTCAAGTTTACGTTGATGACAGTATTTTTGGATCTACTAATCCTAGCTTAACAGTCGAATTCCGAAGACTAATGGCAACTAAATTTCAAATGAGTTCCATGGGTAAAATTAACTTTTTCCTTGGCTTAAACATAAGACAGTGTTCATAAGGTAGATTCATGAATCAAGAAGCATTGATTAAGACTTTATTGGATGAATTCAGAATGGTGGGTGATTCTAAGGTCAAAGTTCCTATGTCATTGGGAATGAAACTCACTGTTTCTCTTGATAAACCAACAATTGATATTACCCTGTATCGTCATATGATTGGGTATTTTTTGTATTTAACTTCTAGTCGACCTGAAATTATGTTTGTCGCCTATTACTGTGCTTGATTTCAAGCCAATCCTCGAGAAACTCATATGTTGGCTATTAAGGATATCTTTTGGCATCAAAAGCGAACTACTTCTCTTAGTCTATGGTCTCCATCGAATTCTGGATTCTTAGTGCATGCAAACTTTGAAGTTGACTTAGGTGCATGTGTTCTTGATCGAAAAAGCACTTATGGGGGATGTCAGTTTCTATATGGAATGCTTGTTAGTTAAAAATCTAAGAAATGGACTTGTGTATCCTTATCTACAACTGAAGTGGAATACACAGTTGCAACATCATGTACATCCCAGGTAGTGTATATTCATAACCATCTTAGGGATTATGGAATTAATATGAAGTGAATCCCTTTGTATTGTGATTCCGAAAGCGCAATTTAAATATGCTACAATCCAGTGCAACACTCTAAGACGAAGCATATAGCATTAAGATACCATTTCATTAAGGATCACATCGAGGATGGAAACATTGAAGTTCATTTCATTAGAACCTCAGATTATTTGGCTGATATTTTCACAAAAGGCATACCTGAAGCTTCATTCAATCGGATTTTACAAGGATTAGGGATGATCGAAGCAGACTCAGTTCCGAAATGCTCAGAATGGTTCCAAACTTCGGAACATTTCAGAACTTCCTGTTCATATTCTGAATGGTTTCGAGCTTCAGAATGCTTCAGATTCTACTATTCAACTTCATTTTAGAATGTTGTATTTTCTTTGTACATTAAGTCTCTTCCGACTGATTCCGAGCTTCAAAATGATTGAGAAGTCACTGTTCATTTATGATTCTGAATTCTTTTGGTCTTAGTTATTTTTCTTTATTTATGTTTTATCTTTTTTTCAGAAAATCTTAAATATCAAAAATATTTTTCTTTATTTATGTTAATTTTTTTTTCAAAAAAAAAAAAAAAAAAAAAAATCTTTTTTATCTTTTTCAAAATATCAAAAATCTCAAAAATATTTTTCTTTATTTCAGTTTTAATCTTTTTCATAAAATCAAAAATGCATACATATTTTATTTACTACTATATTTTCTTTTCAAAAATCAAAATATAAAAAACATCTTACTTTTAAGAAGCTAACATTCTCTTCTCATGTTAATATTCTGTATTATCTCAATTCAGAATGATGGGGCAGGTAAAATTCTGGAACTATGTACTAGCTAAGCGTCCCTAGCAGCATGTTGTTGCATGTTGTCCCAAGCCTCTAAGACTCTATATTTGAAGTCTTAATGAAACGTTCATTCTGATCGTTCCTACCTAATTAGGCTATCAAATCACATAAGTAATCTAGCTACCTTAGTCTTCTCACATTGATTTAAGAGTTTGTTGCTTTGTCATGCAAATATAGCAGAGGTACATTATCTTCTTAAGAAACCATCCATACTACTTCTCCATCAGTTTCCTATCCGTCTAAGTAACTCTTGAGACTCTCAGATAATACCACTGTGGTTAATCGTTACACAACATATGTGTTCATGATCTTAAAATTGTTATCACCACGATTTTGAGTGAAACCCAAAATCCAAAACATACTTCTGAATTGATGGTGAACGATTAAATGTTCTAGATATTTTCACCAAAGAATTGACGCATAAAATGTTTTTGGTTAGTACGGTTCCATGTTTGAAATCTCATATTTTTTTCTTCTTTGAGTGATCATAATGAATTTCTTTCGACCTAATACATTTCTTCCCAACAAGATCCAGTTTTTAATATTATTTTTGAGATTTCCATTATATCCAGTCACTTTAAAGAATATCGAAAGCCTACTTGTTATTATGGCTACACTGGTCAAACAAGTACTTAATTCAAATCTTCAGATATACATTGAGTTTCGAAATCTTATTGAAGCTTAAGCCACACTTAAATCCTACTAAAAGAAGCCTTTCACTTTTTCTCAATAAAGTGAGTATCGTAATTCAATGGGAAACCACACAATCACTTTGTATTCTCTCTTGAATCAGAAGGAAGAGATCATTGTCCGGGATCCATCTAATTTTCATGTCAATCTTGTTTGACATCATAGAATCCTAAAAATTAGATTTACCTTATTTCTTAATCTTTGGCACACTATTGCCCAAAAATCCTTATGATTTTCCAAAGTCTGGTTCTAATTCTGATTGGTTTCTTTAATTTAGAGAGCAGATCTTCATCTTAAATCTGGTGAAATATTTGATAATTCCAAATGTTTCTATTCTGAAACGATAGTTTCTTGGAGATGAAGATTCAAATCAGGTGCGACTTTTGAATTCTCTGACACGCGCGTGTCTGCTACAACGGCATCTGACAGATATTGGTGAGCAAGCACGATTTTACTAGTTGACTTTACGGGGTACATGAATATGGAACAACGGTTTGCTCTCACCACTTACCACATGGAGTATAAAAAGGTTTTTGATGGTTCACTTTCTCTCACCGCTCACACAGTTCTTAAAACCCTTAATGCAAAAATCACTATCTATTTCTACTTTTTATTTTCTTCTTCATTGCTTCAATGGCAGGATCATCAGAAAACGTTTCGTTTGCCGATCAATCAACCTCTGTCACCATTCTCAATGTCAAGCCTAACTAAAACTTGATTCTTGATCTTGATTCGTTGCGTTACAATGAAGTTCTTAGGCCGATAACTGAATGCCTTAAGTTCTTGCCACTAGCTCAAGCGTTAACAATGGCGGAATCCGTTCCATTGGTTTATCTCTCCAAGGCTTACCTATCGGCTATCTACAGCAAAGTAGATGATGTCATCCACTTCGAGGTTGCTTCTCACAAGATCTCGATCATTAAGCCCCATTTCAGCAAACTTTTAGGGCCTACTTTGCCCGAAGTTCATGTGGATCCAGAATCGGTTTCAACCACTGTCCTAATTGAAATGTTCTATCAGATGAGCTACACTAGCGATATATCCTTGCTATCAAAGTTCAGGAAACCCTTTCTTCCTCCATTGTGGAATGGGTTGTTCACTCACTTGTTCAAGAGTTTCTCTAAGAGAGTTGCAGGTTCAGATAACAGAAGTAAGTTGTTCTATACTCTTATTTTTGGGCTATACCAAGGAGTTAATCTTTACTATGGTGCTATTATATGGACTCAACTCATTCAAAGCACCATCACCTCTACTCACCACACTAAGATTTCTTGTGCAATATTTTGGTCAATCGGGCCCTACACCACTTCAAAGTCCCCTTAATGACTGATTCGGTGCTAGAAACAATTTTGATACTCCAAACTTCCATGTTTGTGATGTCGGATCCTTAAAATTTCTCTTTTATTGGTACAATTCCGGAGGCAATGCTTGTCATGGTTCCTCCTTACAATGTGGTTGTGAGAGAATAATGAAGTTTACCATCTTGTAGTGTTCGACCAATGCCATCTGAATTATGCAAGATAATTGATAAGGGTAACACGCCAAAGTGGGGAGGAAAAAGAAAGGCAAACGCAACTCCTTCTAAAATTGTTAAAGCTATAAAGAAAACGAAGAAGCAAGCAAAGAAACCGAGATCTGCTTCTCCAGTTGTTCAAGAGGATTCAAAATCAAGAACTCTTATAGAAGTTCGAGCAGAAGATTTTATACGAAATGAGGAAGAAGATACTGCTGCCAGTTCTGAACCAACACCAACATAACAAACTCCTACCGAACAGCTTCACAGGGTATGATGTCCACCATCCTCATCTGTTCTCACTTTAGATATCTCTCATACTGTTCTCCAAGACACTATTCCAAACCTTACTACTACTCCACCACCACCACCTGTTACTCCACCAGCCTCATCCATCACTTCAACAATTCTAATTTCCTCCATCCCACCTCTACCACCTATGAGTTCTGTTGGAATTTCTCTTCCACAAATCTTAATCCCTATGTCATCACCAATCTTAATTGATTCCAACTACATCATCTATTTCCACTCCACCAGAATATTTGATTGTCAAGTCCTTTTTGACAGCGACTAGGGATTCAGACATTCATGTCAACGCATCTAATGCGGGGGAAAATGTCAACACCGGTGTGAATTCTAATCACGGTACCTCCAATGACAATCAGGAGACATTTACAGATTTTGTTTTCAGCCCTTTCACCATAAACATTAATTGTAATGATGATCAAGCTCCAATGACAAAAGGGAAGTTCAAGAAGCTTAACGAAAAACTAGATTCTATTTTAGAGTCTTCCATATCTACATCTTCATCTAAATTTGAATACATGTTGACAACTCATAAAGCTACTGTGGAGTAGCTCACATTCACAAACACCAAAGTCCTTGAAGAAGCAACCAAGGCAATTCAAGCTTCTAAAAAGGCCATTTCAGAAACGACCGCAAAAGTCGAAAAACTATCTCAGGAGGTAACTTATTTTATGGTTGAATTCAGAAGCTCCTCTGACAAAAATACCAATGCCATGAATAAAGTAATCATTGGGTTTCGCTCTTCTTTGCAAGCTGAGAATGATGCACTCTCCCTTGTTCATTCCAAAATTAAAATGGAGAATACTGAACTCACTTCCTCCGTCCTTTCAAACATTGAAAAACTGCAAGAAGACTTGGCAGTTGAAAACAAGATAATAGACGAGTTGGCTGAGAAAACTCATAAGGCCAAGGTCCTTTCTGTCAAACTGAATACTGCTACCAAGCATGTTGATGATCTTGAGACCGAGAGGACAATTGTTAACAATTGTGTTTCAGAAATCTATCAATATTTGATGAGGCTTGTACTCGTGACTCCTTGTTGACTATCTCGGTTCGACAACGATTATCCGACAAGCTTTTTCTGGTCTTTGCTATGCTTAATGATATCCAAGGTGTTTTAGTAAGCAAGGATTCTCCAAAACAAGGGGGAGACAAGGACCAACAACCAAATACTAAAACTGACCAGAAGGGTAATGAAGCTTCTACATTAAAGAAAGGAAAAGGGAAAGTAATTGATGATAATGATGAATAAGAAGAGCCATCTGAATCCAAGGAGATAGTGAGAGACAAACGTGATAAAGAGCTAGATGATATTCATTCTCTTTGGAAGAAATTAGAAGCAGAGGATGCTAAGGCTAAGAATGAAAAAATGGTGCTTGAAACTAAAAAATCATTAATTACTTGTTGGTCAATGAAGTACATTCAGAAAGAGGTTATTAACAAGCCAAGCATCTACTAGCTGGAGCCTTGGATCTCATTTGACTTAGTTAATGATGAGGAAAATCTATTTGGATTTCCCATCACTCCAAGGGCATTTCTCTTTCATTGTTTTAGAGAAATCTCTGATTTCTAATAGTACTGTAAATCAGAAGCTATTCTCATTTTACTTGAAGCATGTCAAACCACAGTATGAATCTTGGAGCTTGAAAAGATTTATGGCTATGAAGCTTTGATTGCCTGTTCAGACTGAAGACTTTCTAAATATAACGTTAAATTGATTTAGAGGAGTAATCACATTTTAGATGAGTTCACTTTGGTGGACCTGCCATTTCTGAACCAATACGACTGGATCTCCTTGTTTCACATTGTTACGAAAGAGGAAAAGAAGTATGAGCCTATTGTTGCACATTTTTTAAAAAGGATGCTTATTTGCTACATCCAAGAAATTGCAAAGATGGATGTTGAAATAACATCAGTTCTGAAGAAGAAGCCCATTCTAAAGCTGGAAGAGCAACTGAAGGATAGTTAGAAGCTGAAAATTGGAATTATCCGGAAAGAGCATTGGAGCGTAGTGTATAAGAGAAATGATGGTGATATAGTTCAGAAAAACAAAATTCTTTCTACGAGACAAACACATTTACTTCATAGCCGCTTTGAAAACTATTCTTTCTTTGGCTGAAGCATGCAAAGAAAATACTGCAGCTGAACTCAAATGCTTTTCGGATATGATATGTAGGTACTTATGTATCCAAAACACACTTCTGAATCCAATGCTAAAATTGCTTAGCGTGGAGAAAAGAAGACAATGAAGACACTATTTTTGAATTTGACACAAAGGGGGAGATTGTTAGGCCTATAATGTATTGTGTCAATTGTGTACTTACATAGTTTTCTTTATTCCGAAATGGGCCTATCCATGTCCGAATCCGCTATCTAGTCTAGTCTATATATAGTGTATGCATGTAACATATTAGGGTTTCGTTTTTGAACCCACATATCATTTGTACACTATAAAAAGGAAGTGCCATCTTTGAGAACTCTTTTAGAGCCATTTTAATCCAAGCATTAGGCACACTTTTAATCTTCATTGTTCTTGTCTTTAATTCACGTTATTAATATAGATTCTATAGATCTTTATTTTTCTTTTACACTATACCTATAGGATGAGTCTCGACCTTGAAGGAAAGTTCCACAAGAAGGCGAGACAAGAGTGCTACGAAGTGGTCAAGTCTCTTATGGCATGCAATCTTAAGGAAGGAGATTCTATTTGTGCTCATGTATAAAAGATACAAATATAAGTGGAGCAAATGCAAAGGCTCAATGTGTCTTTTGATGAGAAGTTGGCCATTGGCATGGTCCTTAACTCTTTTCCTGCTAGTTATGATCAGTTTGTTCTAACTTATCTTTTGAACAACACAGAGATAACATTGATAGAGCTCTATAACTTGTTGTAAACTATTGAGTTGGGGATCAACAAAATCATGCTCATTATGCAATAAGTGCTCCTGTACTGGCCATTGGATCTAGAGAAAGGAAAAATAGGAGGGCTACTTCCCAATCCATCAAGAGGGGAATGCCTATGTTGGAGGCTCTAGCTGTAGGTCTAAGCTGAAGCTCAAATTTGATGTCCCTTCAACCAGTGATCGAAAAGAGGTCACTTGCTTCCATTGTGGCGAAAAGGGTCATTGGAGAAGAACATGTCCCAAATACTTGCAGGACTTGAAGTATGGTAAAATCAATGAGTCTACTTCATGTATTTACACTATTCAAGTTAATAACACACAACTTTCTCATTCTTGGGTCCTTAACACAGAATGTGGTTTCCGCATGTGTTCTAATTTATAGGGGCCAAGAGGAAGTGAGGAGGTGGAGCATGGAAGGCTGAAACTAATCATGGGGAATAGGCAGTCTACACCTGTTACCAAAATTGGGACTTATGAACTTGTGATCGGTAGTGGTGGTAGGGTTAATTTTTTAAATTGTGGTTATTTTTCATATATGATAGGAAACATTATTTCATTTCATGCATTGTTCGGACAACGTTTTAGATATTCGTTTGATAATGACTTTGGATCTATTTTTGCTTTTCATAATGGTGTTTTTATGTTTAAAGCTTTACCTTGTAATGGTGTGTGGACAAGGCACGTTTGTGGCATTGTCATCTTGGGAACATAAACAAGAAATGCATCGCTAAACTCCAAAAGAATAGAGTGTTGGAATCATTTGATCTTAGGACAAATAATGAGTGTGAATCTTGTCTCTTGGGAAAGATGACTAAATCACCATTCACTAGAACATTTGAAAGAGGTGAAGGATTGTTGGAACTAATCCATATGGATGTGTGTGGCTCATTTAGATCCACCACAAAAAACGCTAATCGATATTATGTGAAGTTTACAGATGATCATAGCAAATATGGTTATATCTACGTAATCAAAAATAAATTGGAAACCTTCAAAAAGTTCAAATAGTTTAATTACAAAGTTGAGAATCAATTAGGTAGGAAGATAAAGATGCTTAGATCTAACAGAGGTGGTGAGTATCTTAGTATCGAGCTCCACGACCATCTTAAGAAATGAGGAATTATTTCACAATTGACTCCTCCCAAAACACCACAACTTAATGGTTTTGGGTGAGAGGCATAATCAGACCTTACTAGCTATGGTTCGTTCCATGATTAATCAAGCTTCTCTTCCTATTCATTTTCGGGGTATGCCTTAAAGACAGTCTGTAACGCCCGCATTTCTTTCCTAGTATTAATAAGATCATGTAATAGTTAGGGTCAACAATTATAACCTATTTGATATAATAAAGAAGAATTATGTGAATATTATGTGTTTCATGATTATTATAATATAATAAAATAGGAAAATCAGCTGAATCGAGCATATCATAAAACTAAGTGTGCCAACACACACACACACACACACACACACACATATATATATATATATATATATATATATATATATATATATATAATATTTAGTAAGTACGTGTCATGCTGATCCCAAAAATATTAATTTCATAGAAATTTCACTCCGTATGAACTAGATATGACTGACTTTTAGCTAAAGCTACGAATCGTAGTACTCTTTAATATAGGAAGAGAATAGTTGACTTTTAGCTAAAGTCAACAAAAGGAAAATTATAGTACTCTTTAAAATATAAATTTTGGGAAAAGGATTACCAAAAACGGAGTTCGTACGAGAGAGTTATGATTTTAGCAAAATTATTAAATCATATAAAAAATAAGGATTAAAAATAATTTTAGAATTAGCCGATGATGTCTAAAGGAAAGTGGTAGATCTCGTTGAGGGCTTTTGGGGATATAAAGAACGTCAAAAATGAAGCTCGTATGAAGAAGTTGCGGAATTTACAAAATATGTGTTTTACACTATGATGGTGCACGATCCGTGCTTCTAGAATGTGAATACGCAGATCAAAGAGAGGTTGACACGTTTAACAAAAAAAATTGGGGAGATTTCGCCTTTATATGCATGATGTGTACCTTATTTGAACATTGTGCACCCCAAATTTGCCTACAAATAGGTTATAGTGCCCCCTTTCATCCCACACACCTCCCACACCTTTCCCCTCGAGTTTTAAGGATAAAATCCCAAAATTTCCTTAGTTTTAAGTACATGGCGAAGCCCTGAGAACCCTTGAAGGCCGACATCTAAGTTTCTAGTAGCCTGAAGTTCTGCCAGCACAATTTTCAAACTTTTGTCTAGGGAATCTCTGTAAGTTAAATTACACTGGACTTTATCTTAGTGTAACTTATATTTATAAGTCATGGTCGTTATTATGAACATATAAATAAGATTTATTAGTAATTTCAAGTCATAGTATTAATCGATCTACTTATGGGAGAGGTGTCTAGAATGGTCACGTTTTCTTGGTTGTTGGATTTCAGAAAATATATTATGCCAAAATGATCTTGCTTCCTAACTGTCCTATCTACCTGATCCTTATTTGATGAAATGATCAGTATTTATTGGAAGAATCTATACTATTGTTTGATACGTAGAATATTGTGACAACCCGATATTTCAACTCTTTGTAATGGCCTAATAGGTCAAGTATTGTAAACATTTTTGAGTTAATAAAATTAACTTTGATAATAAAATGTCCAAAAAGTTTCTATTTAAATTCTTCTATGTTTAAATATCATTAAACCATGATCGTACATAAAAAGAACTCCCAAATCCGACTTCGTATATTGAAGTTATGATTTTTCCAAGTTCAGCTTAGCAACAGACAGCTAAAAACTCGAATCGGAGATCGAGCGACATTTGGCCGGAATGACCTAAACGAGAATCGAAGGTCTCAACAATGGTATTTCAACGGTAAAAAGTCTGGCAAAAACCGACGTCAGATAAAGAAGTTATGAATTTTTAAAGAAATTCCTTAATCACGTCATTTTAATAAATAAATAATAAAAAAAATTTCGGAATTTGCCAACGGAATCTAAACAAAAGTTGTAGATCGTAGTCTCACCTTCACGGGGATATAAAGAACGTCGAAAACGGAGTTTGTATGAAGGAGATATGAATTTTTGAAGTTTGATAAATAATTTATATATAATTTTTATTAAAAATTCGGTATTATCCGAAGAGGAGTCAGCCTAGGGCCGAGGTACGCGCCGCGTACTCGAGGCCACGGCCTCGGATCGTCCACGTCGCCCTATGCGAAGCTACCCGACCCACCGTCCCATCCGACCCGCCCCATCTGAAATACGTAAGCGATAACGTCGCGTACGCGCTGCGTATGCCAGTACGCCCCGCGTACGGAGGTAGTTCAGCCCCCTATAAAAGGGATGCGAGCCTTTCCGAAAAATTTGTTCATTTTCTCTCTTTCTCTCACGATGTTGCCTCGATTTACATGCCCGTTCAAACCCGAAGCTTTGGTCTTTTTGCTCAGGTCCCGAGAGTCGATTTTACTCCCGAGATTCCCGAGAATCCCGAGAAAAATCCGTTTTCCGAGACGAAACTCTGCCCAGTTTTCCATCTCGGTATCTTCAAACTTCCAAGTGAGTTCATACCCCTTTATTCAACCTTTGAAATGCTTTTAAATGTTTTAAATACTTTATGGGGGGGGGGGGGGAATACAAGTTAAACACTTATAGTTATTGCTTCTATCACATGTGATTAATAACTAGGAAACCAATAATTTTATCACTGTTCAAACTGTTTTACTTCAAAATGTTTCACAAACTCTTTTACTTATCAAATGCTTTTATTTAAACTTTGTTTTACTACTTATAAATTGCATGCCCATATATGTATAGATATATAAGTAATGTTTAAAGGGCTTAGGAAGGCCATCCGCCCTATTTCCTTTTCGCGCACTGAGATGTGGTCTGGTGGGATTTCGGGTGACCATCCGAGGGTCGTTACAATATTAGTTATATATCATATATACATGTATAGACATAAAAGTACTTCCATATTCATACTTATCAGCACATCATTAGTAAGTTACCATCGGGGTAACACAGGATCATACTACTACAATTTCTAGATCAAC